GGGGGCTAGGTGAAATAATGGACCGATGGTAACCATTTTCAATAGGCTTCGTCTACGGTACCATAAAAGATCATGTGCCAAATTTCATTGAATTATCTCCAAAATTGAGACCTGTAGTTTGATTACAAGTTTTAAAAGCCCTTTTCGGGGGTTCAGTTGTATGGGGGCTAGGTGAAATAATGGACCGATGGTAACCATTTTCAATAGGCTTCGTCTACGGTACCATAAAAGATCATGTGCCAAATTTCATTGAATTATCTCCAAAATTGCGACCTGTAGTTTGATTACAAGTTTTAAAAGCCCTATTCGAGGGGTTCAGTTGTATGGGGGCTAGGTGAAATAATGGACCGATGTTAACCATTTTCAATAGGCTTCGTCTACGATACCATAAAAGATCATGTGCCAAATTTCATTGAATTATCTGCAAAATTGCGACCTGTAGTTTGATTACAAGGATTACAAGCCCTATTGGGGGGTTCAGTTGTATGGGGGCTAGGTGAAATAATGGACCGATCTTAACCATTTTCAATAGGCTTCGTCTACGATACCATAAAAGATCATGTGCCAAATTTCATTGATTTTAACCATTTAACTAATAGACTTCGTCCTTGGGCCAAAAAAAAAACGTGTGCCAAATTTCATTCAATTGTCTTAAAAATTGCGACCTGTAACTTCAGAAAACGATTCTAAGCCGATTGGTATACTTTAAGGTGGGTATAGGATGAATATTTTTGTATGTTACAAACATCAGCACAAACCCAATATACCCTCCCCACTAAAGTGATGTAGGGTATAATAAATATTTCGCTATACTGAAAGAGAAACTCTTCGTAATCCTAATGAAACTTTTACGTTAACCTGTTTACGTTAATGTTTCGTTAATGATACGAAATTTTACGTAATATTTACGAAAATTATGTTAATATAACGATAAAAGTTTAATTGGCAAATTCTAACTGTTATTATGTAGGTTAGGTTGATAGGAGTATGTATACTACATCAAAAACAAAGAAATACACCTAGGCCACTATATACATATATATATATACATTGGAATGGGATAGTACCCAGGGCTGCCAGATGAATTTTTGAAAAAATCGTCAATTTCCCGATAAATTTTTAAATAATTGTCATTTTGGTTTTAAGAAATCGTCAAAAAAATTGGAGAATATGAAAAGCTTAAAATTTTTATAAAAAATTAAAAATATTGTAATATTTTTAAATGAAATATATTAAAAAATTTATAATATTAATATATTATTATTGCTCAAAATTCAATAAACTTTGAGTTTTGAAGAATATTCGACAGTAATATTAATTCTTTTCTAATGTTCTCATAATATTTTCAATGTTCTGGCATTTTTAAAAATATCAAACATAAATACTGCTAAAATTTACATAGTGTACACATATAGTTTTTAGGTATAGAAACTTGTTCATCTTTTTCTTTAAATTTCTCAAAGTTTGTTGCTTCACAATATTGCTTGTTTTGGTGCACAAGGAATATTTTAATCTTTTTAAGCAAAAATCTGTTTGTAAAATTTTTGAAAGTTTTCTGTAAACAAGTACTTACCCAGCAAAAAATATTCTTGATTTGGAAGCAATAAATATACTGCATCTTTAACTCCTTACTTTATTGCATCTTAAAATTATTGCCTTACAAAAAAGATTTTGGAAGGCATATATTCAGCAATTATTGTTTGTGGTGTAGAAATTTGCTTCTCAACAGCTCTAAAATCACTTAATTTTTGCATCTTTCTAAATTTTCAATGTTCAGTGTTGAAAAATAATATTAATTCACTGAAATCAGCGCAATTTCAACAGTATGAAATATGCACATTTTGGATTCCTTAGGCAGAGCCTCTACGAGAGGAATCCCATATAAAAATCATATATTCTTTCATAACAAGTGCAAGCAGTCATGGATTAGTCTATTGCTCTCTGCCTTATAAATCTGCTTCCGAGGAAGCACAATTTTTTGCTGGGTAGATATAAAAAGATTAAACTTGGTGAGCTTTCTTCGTAAAATTTAGTTCGTTTACACAACTGGTTTGTACTGGATTTAACTTATACAGTGTGAAAATATGGTTCAGATTTGTCGATCTCTACAAAAGTTATAAGAAATAATGTACACAGCATACTCATTTAGATGTAAAATATGTTTAAGCTTTGAGAGCTTAAAACTCAAAACACACTTTTTCGACTTAGAATGTTTCATAATAGCTCTTCTAGAATTTAATTTCTAGTTTTCATTATAATATAAATTCTATTTTTACTGAATTCCAAGTTTAATATTAATTTCCTTTTTCACTGTAAAATAAAAAAAATATAAAATCTTAAATTTTTTTAATTTTTCAAAAATCGTCATTTTCAAGGAAAAAATCAATTCGTCACTTTGCTATTTTTGAAACGAAGAATCGTCAAAATGACGATAAATCATCAAATCTGGCAGCTATGATAGTACCTGCTGAGTACACATCTTATAACAAGCACATAAGGAAATCTTTTTTGTGTTAAATATTTTCAGGTTGGGTTAACCCGGTAAAAACAAAAGACAAAAATTTCTACGTATACTGAAACTTGCTTCCTGGGCAAGAAAATACCAGTGACAGACAAAGTTAAGTACTTAGGTGTAATCGTCGACCGGAAATTAAAATAGAGACACCACATAGAGGATAGAATCAGCAAGGCACATCGGTGCTGGGCAATATGTAGGAGAACTATAGGCATGAAATGGGGTCTTAGTCCTATTATGACAAATTGGCTTTATAAAACTGTAATTAGACCAATTCTAGCTTATGTTTCAATAATCTGGTGGACTGCTTTAGACAAAAAGTGCAATATCAAACTACTAGAGGGAGTTCAGCGTACATGCTGCTTGGGTATAAGTGGTGCCATGTGTACCACTTCAACCAAGGCTCTGGAAACGTTGCTAGATATTCCATCCATTGATACATATTTAAGATATGAGGCAGCGCTTACAGCCGAACGGCTCTTTACTTTAGGGGAACTGGCCAAAAGCGGTTATAGGACACATCATCAATGTATACAGGACACATTGGAAGGTTATACACAATCATCGGACATGCCTGATCGTATACCAGACACAGAATATGTCGAAAACTTTGAAACGTTGATCCCAGATAGAATGTCTTGGTCAAGCGGAACATTAGAGCAAATATCAGTAGGAATCCGTTATTACACGGATGGCTCTAAATTGGGGTACAAAGTGGGCCTGGGGTTCTATATTGAAGACCCAGAAACAGAAATATACCACCGTTTACCAAATCATAACACAAGCTTCCAGGCAGAATTACGAGCAATAACGGAATGCGTAAATTGGATTAGAATAAATATGGCGCCCACATCGCTTAATATATTTACCGATAGCCAGAAGGCAATTAGGGCGATATTAGGCGATAGAATTAAATCTAAGACCGTATTGGATTGTAAGAAAGCTTTAACTGAATACTCTCTCAGAGGTAAGGTTCACATCATATGGGTACCAGCCCACTCGGGAGTAGTCGGTAGCGAAAGGGCGAATGTAATAGTTTTAAAGGGAAGGGAGCTCGAGGCAGTTAACCTGACAAACGCAAAACCATTCGACGCAACAAAAGCTGAACTAAAAATATGGGTGAGAGAATCCCATAAGGCCTCTTGGAATAAGGAAACGGTGGGTAGAACCACGAAGATCCTATGGGATGACCCTAAAGAGAGCAAGACGTAAAATCTCCTCAAAATGAGCAAGTCTGAAGGTAGTATGATGGTACGTATTCTGAGTGGACACACAGGATTACGAGCACATCTATACAAAATGGGACGTGCGGATTCAGACGAATGTAGAGCATGTGGAGAGGACAGTGAAACTCTGGAGCACTTTCTCTACCACTGCCAGGCATTCGTCGAAGTTAGATCCAAGTATCTTGGAAGTGATGTTATTCCGGAAATAACATTCCTAATAAACACTGATTGGAAGATTTTTAGGAATTACGTTCAGGAAACTGAGTTTATGAATCACTGAAAAATAATTCATTCAGTTCCTTTTTATTTATTTTTTTTTCATGATAAGGAGCGCACAACTGAAACTGAGTTTATGAATCTCTGAAAAATAATTCACTCAGTTCCTTTTTATTTATTTAATTTTTTTCATGATAAGGAGCGCACAACAGGCCCGATAGTGGCCTAGGTGTATTTTTTCGTATTTGATGTGGTATACATCCTCCTATCAACCTACCTACCTAAAGTGAATTTCGAAATGCTGCCCTATATATTGTCTTTATGGATCGATCCTTTATTTTCGGCATAAGAGTAATCTATATGCGGCCATATACGCCTTACAAATGTGGTAGTTTTAGGAATTTTTAGATCGATCCTTTTGTCATTTATTTCGACTGTTAACTATTTTTTAGAATTATGGTGAATTTTATTATCATATCACTCATTTAATAAAAGTCTACACCATTTTAAGTTTAAATTTAGAAATTTCAAATTTATATTGTGAAAAACGAAACTGAAGTTCAAAAATCCCATTTAATATTGAGATATAACAAAATTTAATTTAGAAATCATAATTAATATTAAGAAAAAACAAATTGAAAATTGGAATTTTAACCTAGTATTGAGAAAAAACCAAATGATATTGAGAATTTGAAATTAATTTTGATACAATACAAATTGAAATTGATAAAATACAAAATGATATTAGGAAAACCTAAATTATTACTGAGAAATAAAAAAATGTATTGAAATTTGCATATTCCGTTGACGCCAGTATTTATAAAATTTTAGGTTTATTAAACAATTTTAGGCAAAATTCTGGAAAATCGTATTTATAAACGTCAAATAGCTTAAAACACCTTCAATAAACCATTGACAAATATACGAATTTTGTTATAGGCTCGACCCTTCTTTAAGCCAACAATAAGTTGATTTTTAAAAAATGCTTTCTCAGATAAAGCTTTTTTCGGTAATTTTAGATTGATAGTGAAAAGTCTGGCAACACTATGTCGTGGTAGACGCGCTAAACTTGTGCTCTTGATTGAAAATTAAATAATTAATCTATTCAATAAAAATAATAAAATTTTGCCTACATAAATTCCACAAATTCACATCCTTACCACATTTAAGTTATATTATCAAAAACAAATTAAATAAAAATAATATTACCAATTATTTTATCGTGTGCTTTTCCATATTTGTTGTTTTTAACCACCGCTACAAAACTACAAAACAAAGATATACAGTGTCTCTCATAATTATTCGAATTTGGGTAAACAATAAAAAGAAACCAAATTATATAATATATTTTGTGTGCAAAATAAATAAATTAATTTGTTATATTGTCTAGATAGTCCTTATGTTTGATATCACGCTTTTTAAAACTTGAAAAATTTGCGTTGACTTAAATTAATTGTGCTTTTTTAAAAAAAGTCCATGAAATTGCCTCACAAAAGTATACGAATTTTTCCTGTATTTCATATTTGATCATATTATACGCAACACAAATTTTAGAATCGAATGGTTTTTATGCGTAATATTGTTTTAAGGGGTTACTATCCACGGAAAGGATATATTTTTGGCCCATTTGGTCCACAATTTTGGGGAATTTGTACCCTCTTTTCATGTAATATCATTAAAATGGCGATTTTTGGCCATAATTGTAAATTTTTCTCCTTTTTTCCAGAGATAAAACAAAAATTTGATATTGGGAATTAAAAGACCCCTTGGGGTATCTAAAAATAATATTTTTTGTTACAAGAATCTGTATTTAAACGTTCCAAGATAAATTATTCGGATCATTCTTCTTCAATATATTGGAACTTAAGTCCATTTTTATAATACTAGGATCAACTATTTTCGAGGAAAGTTTTCTGGTATATATTCTTTTAGATATCAGCTTTTATACATTTTAAGTTTTCAAAGTGTTGTGGAAGTGTACAACTCCAAAACATGCCTCGAAGAAGCACCATTCAAAATAGTAAAATCATTATTTTTATATACCAATGGCCTCCATGCTGCATGGCACGATATCATATGATCACATGAAAAATGTTGATATGTGTTTAAATATTATTTACTATGATCAAATCAAACCCAAAATTTAGGACTTACAGTGTTATTGTAACGGGCAACATAAGCGTGAAAGTTACGAGTAGTAAAAACTGAATTCTACTATATAGGATGACGTTTTGTTAAGACATGTTTTGGGGATGTATACCGCTATAATATATTGAAAATTTAAAATACATTAGTGCCAATATGTACATGAATATACACTAGACAACTTTGTCGAAAAATATCGTCCCTAGAGGTACGAAAAGGGACTTATGATCCAGATAATTCAATTAGAAACTGAAAAACGATACCAAAAATACATCTTGGAACGTTTAAGTACAGATCCTTATAACAAAAAATATTATTTTTGGATACCCTATGGGTTCTATTAAATTCCAACATTAAATTTTGGTTTCATCTCTGGAAAAAGGGTGAAAACATTACAAATATAGCAAAAAATCGCCATTTTAATGGTATTACATGAAAAGAGGGTACAAATCCCCCAAAATTGTGGACCAAATGGGTCAAAAATATATCCATGCGGTTGATAGTAACCCCTTAAAACAATATTAAGCATAAAACCATGCGATTCTAAAATTTGTGTATCGTATAATATGATCAAATATGAAATACAGGAAAAATTCGCATACTTTTGTGAAGTAGTTTCATGGACTTTTTTTAAAAAAAGCACAACTAATTTGAGTAAATGTAAAGTTTTCAAGTTTTAAGGGGCGTGATATCAAAACTAAGGACTATCTAGACAATATAACAAATTTATTTATTTATTTTCCACACAAAATATATTATTAAATTTGGTTTCTTTTCATAGTTTACCTAAATTCGAATACTTATGAGAGACACTGTATGTACGTAATAAAATTTGTGCAAAAAAATACTTTTTTTCTTTTGAATCTGCCATATAATTTTATTATAAAATGCCATATCTTTGTGGAGTCTGTGATCTGGATACCACTGGGACAAGATGTTTGCTGTGCAGATCATGTGATAGCTGGTTTCATGCCGATTGTGAAAATGTAACCAAAGTTTTGTTTACCACACTTGACAAAAATCGTAATTTGGCATATACTTGCAAAGGTTGTATAGAAAATCCTCCAGATAATTCTGATGATGCATTCAAAGCAGAAATGCGGAAGCAATTTTCTACCCTTAACAACTCCATCAATGGCATAATAAGTGAACAGTCAGTAATAAAAGCTAAAGTTGATTCTGTCATCAGTGAAGTACGCGCAGAACTGTCCAATAGCCTGAAGGAAATTAAGGAGGAGATGGCAAGTTGTAAATCCCTTGTAAATCTCAATGATACCGCCTATAAGAAAAAATTTTACGAGCTTGAAATGCAGAATCATATGCTACAACACCGTTTCAATCGTGCAGATATAGTCATAACCGGTCTTTCGAATAATATTGATGATTTAATCAAAGTTGCTTATGATTTGTGTGAACATTTAAAAGTGAACATTGATCCTGGTGATATTCTTAATGCTCTTTACATTAAGAAAGGAAATGCTATTCTTGTTAAATTTGGTCAAATTGTGAAGCGTGACAAAGTTATCTCTGAATATTTCAAGCAAAAGTCCCTTAAAGTATCTGATATTATTGGTGGAAGTAATGAGAAACGTGTTTACTTGAATGATAATTATACTACACTTGCTAATAAATTGCTTAAGATATGCAGGAAGTTAAAAAGCGATGAGAAGATAAATGGGTATAATATTATAAACCGGGAAATTCTAATTGCTAAAATTACAATGATCAATGGGGATGTGAAGACTTTGAATTATCAGGAATGTATCGACTTATTCAAACTTAATCCCAAATAGCTATTTTGTCTAAGTTTTACTAATGTTTTTCATAACCATTTTTATTCTCTATATAAATTTTCTTTAAGAAAATTTATATAGACTGAATATTATGGTTTATATATATTTTTCTGGTGCTTTTAAATTATCCCACTGTTAAATGATTTGTTAATAATTTTTTGAAATAGTTAATTTTTTAAGTGTGTAAATGATAATATAATTATATAAACTTTAGTTGCCTTATAGAACTTAATAATTATTTTCTTTACACTCTCTGCCACTTTTACACACTTTAAAATATTGTATTAACGTTATGATCTACATAATTTTTTATATTAAAGATTATATTTTATTATTCAAGCTACAGTTTCAAGCTATTTTTCATGCAGATGCCCTTAGATTATACCATAGTCATTTGTTTTTATAATATATTTTTATAATATATAATATATATAATAACCTACGTATTATACTTCACTTTTACAATTTAATAAGAAATAGACAACCGGTATTACTTCTAAATCAGTTTTCATTCATCAATTCAACTCGAAATCTCTCTATTTTCGATCGTTCTTTTGTTATAAGAGTTCATCGTGCATGGAGCATGCTTCCTAATGAGCTTAAACTTTTTTCGTACTCCTATTTTACTTACAAAAGGAAACTATTAGACTATTTTAATAGAGATCAGATTTAATTATATTAATTATTTCTTTTTTAATATTCAAGGATCAATTTATTTTATATCATATTCATATATATTTACCCATTTATACAGTTAAAACTTTGGTTATAGAAACTCTTATTCTTTATTTTTATGTGATATTTATATGGCTGGGGAGCCTATCTTATACAAATAATTCTTTTATAATATATTTATTTTTACATAGTAATTTTCCTTACAATACATGTATTATTGGCCATGAAGGCTTTTTTGTATTGATATTAAATAAATAAATAAAATAAATAAAACTAATTATGGTTTCTTTCAAAATAAAATCTAAAAATTCTAATTTTAACGTTTACAAATTTGTACATAAAATCCCAAAAAATTGTTAACGATTATATTTTCGGAAATAACTCAAATCTAGGCATTATTGGATTAATGCATGAATATTTGACAGTATTCCAGTTGGCCATCAGTATTTTTAGGCAATTTGGAAATGCCCGTCTTTCAACCAAATTATGGACAAAATCATTTGATTTGCCTTTTTCAAAGTTTGTTGGTTAAATATAAAGCAATAATTAATTAATTAATCATGTAAATTATATTGATTAGTGTTATACTAATGCAAAATATATTCGCCGGCGTTAAAATTAGTCAAATATCCAATAAATTTATCAATATTTGCAAAAATGTATTAAAAATCACAAGGAACATAAGCAAAAATAAGAAAATGTGCAATAGTGATGTTTTATTTCGCAAAATATCCGTTATTTAATAATAATTATTGTTATATTTATACACTGAACTAAATAAACATTTATTACAGCCATATGGGGAATTTCCACCAGCTACTTTAATATTAATACTTTTTAAATTAATCAAATATTTGTAGAAATAAGTTAACTCATGTCTTTAATAGAAAAACCCAAGATTTAAATAGCTTAAATCTGTTTCAATTGCAAGATATATTGAACATTACAAACATCATTTTCATTTATATTTTTATAGCGCTTTAAGATATGCTATGGCTATATTTAATAATTTAAATGTATGCATATGTGTGAAAGATTTAAGGAAGTACAAAATATATATAGGGTCTCATTGATAATGCAACTAGTTAAATAGGTTTAAAGTGATTTTCGGGGCAGGACCTAGCACGGGAGATATGACCAATTATATATCGATCGTAAAAAATTATTTAAGTAACATTTCTGTACACAAAATATATATTTCAGTAAAATCGTAATTTAGTAAGTGTGTTTATGTGATTTTTGGAAGGGACCTATATTATGAACCGATGTGAAAAAATCTTGAAATAGAATTTTTGTACACAAAACTAATATGACCAATTATGGTCCGATTGTAAAAAAATTCAACAGTAACATTAATGTATATAAAGACAAAATTTTGGATAAATTCTGTATCTATATCATAATTTCGAAATAAATATTGTGCATTTAAGTGATTTTCTGGAGGAGATTTTGTATGGGAGCTATGACCAATTATGGACCGATCGGAAAAAAATTTCACCATAACGTTTCTGTATTGAAGGGCAATACTTGTACCAAATATTATATGGATATCTGAATTTAGTAATAAGTTATTTGCGTTTAAGTGATTTTCGGGAGGGACCTTGTATGGGAGCTATGACCAATTGAGGACCGATTTAAGTGATTTTCTGGAGGAGATTTTGTATGGGAGCTATGACCAATTATGGACCTATCGGAAAAAAATTTCACCATAACATTTCTGTATTGAAGGGCAATAATCGTACCAAATATTATATGGATATCTGAATTTAGTAATAAGTTATTTGCGTTTAAGTGATATTCGGGAGGGACCTTGTATGGGAGCTATGACCAATTAAGGACCGATCAGAAAAAAATGTCACAGTAATATTTTTGTGTCTAAGAGCAATACTTGTACCAGATTTTATATGGATATCTTAATTTAGTAATGAGTTATGTGCGTTTAAGTGAATTTCGGGAGGGGACCTTGTATGGGAGCTATGACCAATTATGGTCCGATCGGAAAAAAATTTCACTATAACATTTCTGTATATAAGGGCAATACTTGTACCAAATATTATATGGATATCTGAATTTAGTAATAAGTTATTTGCGTTTAAGTGATTTTCGGGAGGGACCTTTTATGAGAGCTATGACCAATTAAGGACCGATCAGAAAAACATTTCACAGTAATATTTTTGTGTATAAGAGCAATATTTGTACCAAATTTTATATGGATATCTTAATTTAGTAATGAGTTATGTGCGTTTAAGTGATTTTCTGGAGGAGATTTTGTATGGTAGCTATGACCAATTATGGACCTATCGGAAAAAAATTTCACCATAACATTTCTGTATTGATAGGATCCTGTATGGGAGCTATGACCAATTATGGACCGATCGAAAAAAATTTCACAATAATATTTCTGTATATAAGAGCAATACTTGTACCAAGTTTTACATGGATATCTTAATTTGTGATTTTCGGGAGGGGACCTTGCATGGAAGCTATGTCCAATTATGAAATGATCCAGAAATATTTTTCTCTAAATGAATTCTATTAACATAGAATTTTAATTTGTAAAATTTTGTGAAGATATCAACATTCTGACGGAAGTTATTAACAATAAACTCATTTTCCGAGAATATGTACTTTTGTATGGGAGGTAAAAGAAATTGTGGACCGATTCCGGCAATTTTCAACAGGAATAAAGTTGTCGTGTAAAAACAAATGTATGATGATTTTCATGGAATTATATTGCATAGTTTTCGTGAAAATTACATCAGAATGTGTAAAAAATGCTTATTTTTTCGGAGTTGTTTTAAATTTTGATTCATAACTTTTCCCGATGTGAACCGATATTCCTCATTTTTAATACCAAACTGCTTAGGATAATAGGGAATATGGTAACATTTCAATAATTTATTTCACTTCGTTTTTACGTGAGCGTGTTTAACACAGACAGACAGACGGACGGACATACGGACATAGCTAAATCTACTCAGAATTTCATAAGGACCAAGAATATATATACTTTGTGGGGTCTCAGATGAATATTTCTTAGTGTTACACACGGAATGACAAAGTTATATATACCCTCTATCACCACTCATGGTGGTGGAGGGTATAAAAATGTATTTTGAAGTCTCTATAATTTATACTAGTCTATAAATTAAACATTTACAGTTGTATTTATAAAAAATGCTTATTTTAGATTTAAATCACACAATAGTTAAAGTACACTTTAGACTTAAAAGCCATTAATAAAATTGTGGTATTCATAAACAAATAATTAACTTGGCATCACTGTACAATTTGGCTGTAATTTTCTGTGTTAGTGTTGCGTACAATTAGGATAAAATGTTCGTTGATTCGGTTTTCTTAACTTTATATTTTTGGTTATAACACATTTTTGAAAATAAAAACGAACTTTTAAGAAAAATAAATGTATACATGGCTACAATAAATATATATTTACTTCAGATGAATGAATATAACATATATTTTTTTAATTATAATTAAAAGTATTCGAATAACGAATATTTTGTGACAAAATAAACATCACTATGCACATTTTGTTATTTTTGCTTATTTTTATAGCAATTTTTAATAAATTTTTGCAAATTTTGCATTGATAGAATACTAATCAATATAATTTACACTCTTAATTACTTCATGGCTTTATATTTAGCGAATAAACTATGAAAAAGACAAATAAAATGATTGTGGCCATGATTTGATTGACAGGCGGGAATTTCCAAATTGCCAAAAATAGTATTGACCAACTGGAATATTGTCAAATATTCATCTATTAATCCAATAATGCCTAGATTTTTGTTTTTCCACCAAAATAGAAACTTTTAAAATTTATCTGGAATTTTATTTACAAATTTGTAAACGTTAATATTACAATTTTTAGATTTCATTTCAGAATAAAACATAACTAGTTTTCGTCTTCAACCTAAAATTAATGAAAAAAGCTTAATCAGAGACAAAATTTGTAAAAAAATCAACTTATTGTTGGCTTAAAATAGGGGCGAGCGTACAATAATTTTTTTCTATTTGTCATTGGTTTATTGAAAGTATTTTAAGCTATCTGGCGTTTATGAATACCATTTTCGTGGATTTTGCCTAATAATGTTTAATAAACCTAAAACAACTTTTTATGAATACAACCGTTAATGTTTATTTTTATAAAAATTGTATTAATTTTTTTTTTGCATCAGCTGTTTACACTTTTTAATTGTTTGCTCAAGTTTAAACCACCTACATTGGGCGCTTAAACTTGCAAACAAAATTAACTAATTGAGTACTCAAAAACAACTTTCGAGAATTAATTTTAATTTAATCGCTAATCGTTCACCTAAAGAAAATTCTAAGATCTCACATCGAGAAGTGTGAAACAAAAAATTCCATCGTTTCTCGATTTGTGAGTATAAAGTGTTTCTGTAACTTAAAGCGAGAAGAGGCAACACGAATTACGTTTTTCTTGGAAATTTCCAATAAAACAGCTGTCAAAAACATAAAAATAACAAGTAAGAAATTATAGTCGGGCGAGGCCGACCATATAATACCCTACACCTTTGACAAAAATATTATGTGATTTAGTTGCCATAATAAAGCATTTAAGTTGAATTGTACCTTGCCTTAGATATACATACTTAAGCCGTTTATTGTTGAATAAAATTGTGGACATTTAAGTGAAATTTTGATGGGGGCTTTTCATATGAGCTAGGGTCATATGAGAACCTATTATTATGGAATTCGTAGGGGTCATCAAGTCTTGTATACAACTTGGTTATTGCAGCTTTTTGTCGAGATATGAGTATATTAAACATAATTATGAACTTAAAAGCCCTATTCGGCGGATTCAGTTGTATGGGGGCTAGGTGAAATAATGGACCGATGTAAACCATTTTCAACAGGCTTCATCTACGGTACCATAAAAGATCATGTGCCAAATTTCATTGAATTATCTCCAAAATTGCGACCTGTAGTTTGATTACAAATTTTAAAAGCCCTTTTCGGGGGTTCAGTTGTAAGGGGGCTAGGTGAAATAATGGACCGATGGTAACCATTTTCAATAAGCTTCGTCTATGGTACCATAAAAGATCATGTGCCAAATTTCATTGAATTATCTCCAAAATTGCGACCTGTAGTTTGAATACAAGTTTTAAAAGCCCTTTTCGGGGGTTCAGTTGTATGGGGGCTAGGTGAAATAATGGACCGATGGTAACCATTTTCAATAGGCTTCGTCTACGGTACCATAAAAGATCATGTGCCAAATTTCATTGAATTATCT